CATGACTTTGTCTCTGATCACATGACTCTGTCTCTGATCACATGACTGTCTCTGATCACCTGACTCTGTCTCTGATCACATGACTGTCTCTGATCACATGACTTTGTCTCTGATCACATGACTCTGTTCTTGCTCCATGAACTGTGGAACTAAGAGACAGCTGAGGATAATCTGAATCTGTAGAGAGTGAGACTAATCAGATCTTTAGATCACATTCATACACCGATGGGACACATTAGAGGCGATGGGGGTTTCAATGTCTTGGACAGGGACACTTCAACATGTGCCAGCAAGTGGAATCGAACCCCCAACTCTCCCATTGGAGGAATGACTGCTCTAACCACTCAGCCACAGCCGCCCAAAGACAAATGACTGAATGAATTGCATGTTGCCCACTCCTGAGGTCAGGTGTGTTGGAACATGCAGCATAGTGGCCCTCCAGGACCAGGATTAGACACCCCTGTCTTCAACAGAACATCCCTTTAGAGCGGGGGTCGGCAACCTTTTACACCCAAAGACCCAGTTTCCACAGAAAAGAAAACACTGGAAGCCACAAATGGTTTTTGACATCTAAACTTTATGCTTTGTATAAACAACTGTAGTGTGTTGCTTATGAAATCCATGAAGTGCTACAGAGAAAATTAAATTGTATTTATGTAATGAGCACATTTTGAACTCTTGAAAAAAAACAATTAAATGCCCTCTTGAGGGCAGCAATTTGTGACACTGAGAGAATGCCCTCAGGTAATCACATGTACAAAGTGTCTTGCTCATGGTTTCAAATACCCTACCATAACTCCACCCACTCTTACCCTACCATAACTCCACCCACTCTTACCCTACCATAACTCCACCCACTCTTTCCCTACCATAATTCCACCCACTCTTTCCCTACCATAACTCCACCCACTTTTACCCTACCATAACTCCACCCACTTTTACCCTACCATAACTCCACCCACTCTTACCCTACCATAACTCCACCCACTCTTACCCTACCATAACTCCACCCACTCTTACCCTACCATAATTCCACCCACTCTTACCCTACCATAATTCCACCCACTCTTTCCCTACCATAACTCCACCCACTCTTTCCCTCCCATAACTCCACCCACTCTTACCCTACCATAACTCCACCCACTCTGTCATCATGTGACCAGAAGTCTACTCTCGATGACCATCCCCCAAGACAGACGTGCATTAACTTCTTCAGATCGTTCCCGTGTTGTTACCGTATTTTGCGCTTCGTGCACAGACCTGTTCATTTGTTCAGCGATAATGGAAAATGTACGGAGAATTTCTTATGACGCAGCTTTCACGTTAAAAGCGATCGGCTGTCGAAGAGGAGTCATAGCTGCCGCCCATAAGCTTTGCATCAATGTGTTGATGGTCGGGCATTGGAGACGCAAAGCAGTCAAGTCTAGTACACGTTTTAATAAAAGGTTTTAAATTCTTTCTGTGTACAGTAAATGTGATTAAATACCAGGATCTCATTTAAGCTCATCTCATGCATGAAGGTGAGCAGTGGAGACAGGGGAGGAGGGACTGTTCCTCCTTCGCCTGCTCATATTAGCGCTGAGGAGAAATCACATCAAATTTATTTAAGATAATTTAGAAAGTACAATTTAAAACAGCTGATACCAATACTGATTAACAATAAAAATCAATGGTACTAATTTAATGAATATTTATCGTATTTTACCGGAACTATTTGACTTCCGGTCACATGACCTCGATGAGACTTCTGGGTAATATTTACCAGTATATAATTTTTAAATAGTTTTGGTTACGTAGGTGTTTGGCACTGTTCTGTCCAGTGATTATGCTTTGATAGTGGGGGAGCGGTGGCGCAGAGGCTAGAGAAGATGGGCCTGTGATCGGAAAGTCGCAGGTTCAAGTTCAGTTACACACTGTCCGAGCGGGGCTCACATTCTGATAATGAATGGTGGATACCTGTGGCTTAATAACCAGGGCATTTTATTTGATTTATCTCATATTTAATATGTGCAACTTAGGCACAGGTGCGTTCTGTAGCCCGAGAATTACGGTATCCATGTAGCAAACAAAAAATGAGCCATCATCCTTATATCGCCTTTGGGCTTTAGCCTCAAAACCACCATGTCACTAAACACTGAGGAATAAATATTTGGAAAATATCTGCATAAATGTTAATTTTACAAGGTTAATGGGGCTTCTGCTCCTGAACATCTGTGCACAGCTGCTGCATATCAAGACAGTATGACGTCACTTCCGTCTTTACGCGGGGCAGTAAGCTGTCGTCTGTGAGGCGTGTGCGGCGGTTGTTTTTAACGTAGTTCACGGTGGAGAGTAGCTGCTCACATGCGTGTGTAGAGCCGAACATCGACAGGACTCCAAATGCACATTTCTTCATGTTTGTGTCAGGGGTGGCAGAGCACGTTTCAAACACGAGTTTGTCCGGTGATGGAAGGTTCTCAGTATCGCTCCATTTGTGATTCTGAACAAGGGTGGCCTTCTGACGTGCAACATCTCCATCCGGCGTTTGAATGTGGACACCCACGTGTTTGCCAGCGATGTGAGCCAGCTCCAGACCACGTTGACTTACACCTGCAGATGCAGTCACATTGAACAGGGATGGATCGAAGCTCAGGGGCGTGACGGGGAAGGACAACATGGTGCTTTCCTCTCTGAACTCAGAACCGGTTCCCAAACGACGCTTGCGTTGTGGTGACTGCAGATGCTCTGAATTTATCACCTCGTGAGCTTGTCTGAACCCCCTTCAAGATGCTCATTTTGAGCGACGAAACATAATAAAATATAAGTTCATTTAAATTAAAGGTCACAATAATCTTCCAATTTAGAACTACAATTTACAAAAGGACTAACACAAATACTGAACACTCCAATGAAATAATTATAATTTATTTTCCCAAGCCACGCGGAGCCGCAAGTTGATGACCTCTGCTGTAGAGTTAACGGGACCATTCTTTTAACAACAACCAGTACTGATGCGCATTGAACAGAGAACTATTTAAGAAAAAATCCAGAGAGAGTTTGTGTTTTTAATTGTACAACTTTATTATCAGTTTTCTTAGTGGAACGTCTCAGAAGTGATAAGATCTCTATGGATGAGGCCTACTCTACATTACATATGTAAGACAAGAAGAGTGGGTTTTCAGAGCAGTTTACTGATGGGGGATCTGCAACACCTTCAGGATTATCATCTAAACTCTCACAGGGCTTGATTTTCATCATAATTAGTAAACCTATGTCTTGTCGGTAGATGAAACCTTGCACTTGACTGTTGTTATTCTAAAAACAATGATACTAAAAGTTTTAAATAAGTGAACTAAGAAAGATCTACAGATGATGACATATGGAAGCAGGTATCTTCTTGGAAAATGGAAGACTTGTGGTCAATCCCAGACCGTTCAGGGCGTTTGGAAACATCCCAGTATCCTCTAGGAGGATGGAGCAGCATTGGGCTTGTCATCACGTGTGATAGGGATGCTGCGGCCAGATTCGCTCCCCCCGCTCACTTTTGGCCCGGTGAGGGTCAGTAGACCATCAGCTGACAGGGTGCAGGTGACTGATGATTGGTCCACGTTGGAGGGGAGGCGGTAACGGCGGTGAAACCCCCGGGAGATGTAACCATGATCGTCCTGAAAAACATTCCAGATTTAAGTACTCACACATGTTCAAGTTCAAACAAACTGGATCCCTGAGCTGGGTTTTAATGGACCTTTCTTCCTGGTAAACAGGATTTTGTCCTCTCTACTGTCCCCTGTCTCACTGGTGTACAGCGAGACAGGGGACTGACCAGAGGACAGACCAGAAGACTGAATCCTTTGCAAGGTGAAGCATTTGAAGTTGCATGTTTTTCTACGTATCAAATTTGGCTGTAGCGACACATTTGGTAGAGCTGTTGCCTCTCAGGTTGCCAGATCGAATCCCGGTTGGGGCTCTTTCTGAGTGTAGTTTACATGTTCTCCCAGTGGGTATTCTCTGGGTACTCCAGTTTCTTCCCATAGATTAGAAACATTGGTAACTATAAATTGTCCCTAAGTGAGAGTGTTTTTTTGTCTCTATGTGTCCCTGTGATGGACTGGAGACCTGTACAGGTGTCCCTCGCCTCTCACAAAGTGACTGGTGGACATGGACACCAGCGTCTCCCCCAAACCCGCAAAGGAAGACGCGCGTAAAGATGTTGGGTGGATGGAAACTGGACTATGAGGAGTTTAATTATCAGTGGATTTAAAACATGTTGGTACTCAATTGACTTTTCTTGAATGAAACATGTTTAGTTTAAAAAAACTAATATTAATATAAATATGTTGTTTTAATCCACTGTTAATATTTGCATCTAAATTTGAAGACTACTAGACAACTGCTGGCCTTTTTAGTACTTTTTGTGAGTTGTGGTCAAGAAAGAGAAGAACGTTACCTGTCGTTCTCCATGCTTGCCCTGGATCTCCACATAGTCATCGGTCACCTTCACACTAAGTTCATCAGGGGAGAAGTGCTTGACATCCAGGTAGACTGTGAACTTGTCCCTGTCAGACCTCACCTGAGGGCCAAGCAAGAATAAAGATTATCTACTGCATCATAGCAAGATATCCTAATGACTTCAGAAGTTACGTTCACTTGTCAACACTAGGAAACATAAAGGCAGGTTGGTGAATATATTTGGATTAGCTCAGAGATGAACACAGTCCACAGGTCCATTCTAACATCATGAATGCTGTCACCTCAGAGACACCAGAGTTGGAGGAATCCAAGAAGTTGCGAAACAGTGAGTGTCTGTAAAATGGGCTGATGGTGGAGGAGGTGTAAGGAAAAAAGTCGTAGTCGTAGATTCCCTCTCCGAAGAACTGGTCAAAGAGTCGGGCAGGGTGAATGGGGCCCAGGGCACGTCTGAACCAGGGATGCTGGATGGCAATATCCATAGTGACCAGAGGCAATTTGATCTAGTTTGGATTGGTTTGGCTCAGTTGTGCAGATGTATCTGCTCAAATCAAAGACCAGCAGGTCAGTTAAAGGAAATAAAGCAAAAAGTGGAGAAAAGAACAAGTGTTGAAGTGCACTTGCAGGACAGTTCCACAGTGCTTCATCCTCCGCTCCAGAGATTAGTCCTCTTTATATACCTGATAGCTAGAAAGAGGGGCTTTAGCCACGAATCCCTCTGGAATGGCATTATCTCATGGTGGATTGGGCCATGTCAGCAAGATTACTAAGGCCAACCCTGGAGCGACCCAATGCCCCCCATATACGGCAGACACTCAGGGCTGCCAAAACAAATTGTGCTCCATGGAGAGGAGGGTGAAAAAGGGCATGGCGGGGACAAAAAGACCAGGAAGCTAACCAAAGGCACAGAGTACTTTTACCTGAGTGATAATGCACACACGTATCGGTTCTGTCTGTCTGTTGGTGACATAATGCTGCTGTTTTGTTCTGCTTGTCTGGATGGATTGGGGGCAGATTAAGCTACAAAGCTCCCCAGGTTCAATGAAGCAGTAACAACGGAAACAAAAAGACTGGTTAAAAAGCAAGCACGCTCTGAAGCATTCAGGTGTGCATTAATGAGAAAAGACATCATGAGTCTGGAAAAGATTCTCAAAATAAAAATAAAAACATTTAGAGTTCTTTCTAAAAGTGAAGATCCTACCAAGTTCGCCATGTGGTCAGACTGAGCCATGCTCAAAGGATGTACAAAAACGAAGAACAAAAGCTGTGACACCTGGATAAGTCTCTTAAAGGAACATGGCTGACATCATGAGTTCTGTTTGTAAGGTTTCACCTGAAAGAACCACAGAACTTCCCATAATGCACAGCAGCAGGTTTGGAGAAAACCAAACGCGCAAACGGTTGTGGAAGTCTGATGGTGTGGGTTTGATTTACAACCGCAGGACCTGAGCGCCTTACAGTCATTGAGTTGACCATGAAATCCTTTATAGACCAATGGATTGTAGAGTCAAGCATGAGGAATTCAAACTCCTCTACACACCATGGGCCTTCGTCTTGTGAGGGGATCTTTGTGGCAATCATGCCACAGCAAATTAGTCCAGTTTGATCCATTCATTCTGTTTCTTTCTTCTGCAGAACCCCAGGGCACATTTAAAAGGTCCTGGCAGGAATGCAGACAGCCACTTCTGCTGGTTGTGGTCTTCATAAAAATGGAAAAGTTATTCTAAAGTACAACTTCTGGCTTGCTTCTCGTATCGAGGAGGGACTAACCATGTTTCATTAAGAAGCAACACGCTGCACTCTGGATGATTATGACTGCAAACGGTTTCTAATTTCCCAGAGCCTGCTTCAGTGCAATTCTTTGATGCATCCTGAATGGAAACCAGGAATGGAAATGTTGTATAAGGACAAAAGCAGAGCTGAAGCTTTATGGATCCCTAAATTGTTAAACTGATAGGAGATGTTTTGTTGATCTACTGGGACAGTTCATACGGGTGTGGTCAGGACAAGTGGTAGATGGGCCTTACTCAGAATGAAAGGTTGGCAACAGGCAGCAGAGATCCCCAAACTTCTGTGCCCTAGCTACCTCCTCCAGCTCATCTGAAGGCATCCATCGGCCATTTGTGAGGGATAATCTCTGCAGCAAGTCCTGAATCTGCCTTGAGGTCTTTTCCTGTCTCTCTCAATTAAAAAACAAATACTTTATTAATCCCAAAGGGAAATTAAGTGTTGTCATAGCTCATCATCCTGGTTTCATTCAAGAGTTGTTATAGATGCTGATAACTGTGGGCAGGAAGGATCTCCTGCAGTGAAGCTGAAGAATCTGGCCACAGATATTGATCCATCCACCTGGATCCAAATTGCTGTCAGATCCAGCGGGCCTCTCGGTCCTTCTGGGCAGCAGGACTGCATCACTCCCGGAGTGATGGTCGCTGCTCCTAGCAGTCTGCAGAGCTCCTCGTCGCCATGGACAGACAGCTGAAGGTGCCAGGAGATGATCCTGGTCCTCTCGAGTTTCTCACCAGCTCCAGGATTTTGGCTGTCAGGTATTCGAGCACCGCTGCCAGATTGACGGAAATTCATCCACGGCACCTCCTTTTCAACTCATTTGGGATTTGGGGCTGTAGTTGAGGTATATGAGCTTTTGAGGTGTTAATCAGCTGCTCCTGGTTGTTACACAACACCTTGTTGTCATGGTTACGCATCATAGCAAACGCCCAAAAGTAAAAAGGTTTCAGTAAAAATCCTTCCAGCGGCACAGCATCTGATACCAGAGGAAGTAATCATCCGAAAAATTGATTTACATCCAGGAAAAAAGTGGAATTAAAGTTTTAAAAGCAATAACTCAGAATGAAAGTAAGAGAGCTGCTCCAACATGCAGCCACCCCGAGCGACCCAAATCTAGAACTACTCTACCTTTGTCCAAAAGATTCAAATTCTAAAATCACCTCAGATGACTTCTTTTGATGTGGAGAAGTAGCGGCTCTACTCAAAGTTCCTTCTATTGAAGCCAAAATTCTCCTCCAGGGTGAGTCCAGAGCCTTTGCAGTGGAAGCTCATTTCAGCTGCTTGTTTTGGCAATCTAATGTATTTCAGTCAAACTCAGCTCTTTCACTCTTTGCTGCAGCGCTCACTTCAACAAGAGAAATCAATACAGGGCTCACATCACATCACATACTCTCTTTATCTGCCTGTCAATATCCCCTTTGGTTCTATTGCCGCTCGTGAACAAAACCACAAGATACTTGACCTGCTACATTTGGGACAGTAGCAACCAAGAGTTATCAATCTGCATTTTACTGGTTGAAGACCATGGTCTCAGACTTCAAGGTGCCTGTCTTCCACATACAGCACTTTTATTCTGCAATGAACAGTTATCAAATGATGTGGTATTTTTATTGGGTTCTTGTGCTACTTCTCCCAGACATGAAATCAACCTTCTTGAAAACTGTCTGTCTTCTTGGTCCAAAAACCACATCACTGTCCACTTACATGTCAGGATGGAGGTGTTTCACCCAGAGAGCACGGACTGAGGATAACGGATTCAAAACCTTTTATGATATAAAGTGATTTATTCACAGTGAATAGATATGCACCAGTATATACTGTGTTATGGAGGAAGGAGAACCTGTGAGGAGCTGTTAGATGGTGCAGGTTGTCAATCTCTTACAGGTCGATGGCTGAGAGGTAGTGCAGAGGATTCCAGGTTGGTCAGGTCCTGGTTGAAGGAGTACAGGTGGAGGCAAGTCATTGGAAGGAGATGGAGCAGCTGGAGAAGATCCCCAAGGAGGAATTGTAACACACAGGCAGACCCAGGAGTCGAGGATTCATTGACAGCAGTAGTGGGTCCAGGACTGGAGGCTCAGGAACCAGGTTCTGTGAGAACGTGAGGAGAACACAAGGTAAGTATACTTTAGGTTATAGGAGTAACACAAGGATAGTACAAATACCAGGAGGTAAGTAATGCAGCAGCAGGGAAGGAAGCTCTTCTGCAGCCTCTCATAGTTCTGGCGCTTGTTAGTGGAATAACTCAGCTGTTGCTTGTTGGCACCATCTGGACTCAGAAACCTGCAGGAAGACCTAGAATCCCCACATTACAGTCATTATTAAGATGTAGATGGACAACCTGATGAGTTTGCTTTTCTGAATTGTGTCTTGCACGTCTGAGGTTGTTAAGTTTCCTCTACAGATTCTGTAGTGGATTGAACACTGAGTTTGTGTGGGTGTTAGAGCCTTAGGGTGAACCGGTTTCTGTCACTTATGTTGTTAGGAGACACATACTCAACAAACAAAAACAGAGGTCCAGTTGCTGTCCAATCACTCTGGTTTATTATCAGATTAGAAAGCATTCAGTAGTTTAGTTTGGAATATATGATGAGAAGGACGGAGGTGATACTTTGTCCTCACTGTCCTACATGTTCAAGCTCTCATCATGGGGCACCAGATTGTCAATCACCAGTAAATAGATGACTTTTTAACCCTTGGTTAGTCACATTTCAGTTCAGTTCATTTCTGTAGCTCCAATTTACAACAGAAGTCGTATCAGGGCCCTGAACAGAAACAGTCCCATACGTACATAAAAGACGATTATCAAAGTTCTGTATCTGAGGAAGCAGCAGATTGTGTTGAATCTTCACTTCGTCACAGTCTCCCATCCTGAGCGAGCACAAAGGTAATCTAGCTGCGTTTTGATTCACTACTTTTTCCTTTTGACTCTTCTTTTATTGCCATTTTATTTTAATTTGTAAAAAAAATCTGTATGCCTCTTTTATGATTGTCTATTGTTGTCGTTGTTGTCATCACTCTTTGTTAAAGAATTCAGGTCTCTCTTGTTAATGAGTCCCCGAGGCTCAGTGGGACTAACTGGAGACTGTGGAAAGGAAAAACTCCCTTTTAACCTCCAGCAACATTTCAACACTTAAGCGTGAAATATTTTTAACGAAGCAGAGTTTTCCTTTTTAAATTTTATTACAAAAACATAAAACAATAAGAAAACCATTAGGATCTATGCAAAATAAAACTGACACATCCATCCATCCATTATCTTCTTTTACCTGCTTCCTCCATTTTGGGTCACGGGGGTCGCCGGTGCCCATGTCCAGCAATCACTGTGCGAGGGGCGGGGGACACCCTGGACGGGTCGCAAGTCCATCACAGGGACAAACAAGACAACCAGTCACTCTCTCTCTCTCACCTAGGGTCAATTTATAGTTACCAATCAGCCTAACATGCATGTTTTTGGTCTGTGAGGAAACCGGAGTACCTGGAGAAAACCCATGCATGCACAGAGAGAACATGCAAACTCCACCCAGAAAGGCTGCCGGACTGGGATTTGAACCAGAGACCTGCTCGCTGAGAGGCAGCAGCTCTACCAGCTGCGCCACCGTGCTGCCCCTGATTTAAACAGATATATTAATATACAAGTTAATTTTCATTCAACCTTTATTTAGACAGGTAAATCCCATTGAGCCTCGAGGACTCTTTTACAAGAGAGACCTGATTTATTAACAAAGAAAGATGACAACAATGGACAACAGCGACAACAATAGACAGTTATAAAAAGACATACAGATTTTTTTTTTTTTTTTTTACAAATAAGATGGCAAATTTAGTAATAAAAACAGCTAGATTCTAAGGCGAATGAAGA